TTGGGAGTGCAGAGCCTTAGCCACTGGACCACTACGGAAGTCCCTAAAGCATTATTTTTGTTCACAATAAAGTACAATAAAATACCAAATATGCTTTTTTCACATGGTGATTTAGAGATGATTGGTCTCTTTACAACATCTCCAAACAGGGTATGTCTCTTCATTTGTTTTTCTTAAGTCCCTCAGAAGAGTTTTATAACTTCCTTTACATGTTCTCTGAGTTTATTCCTAGGTATTGCTTATGTTTTGCAATTATAGATTGCAGGTCATTTCCCTCATATTTTCTAGCTGGTTGTTTTGGGCATGAAAGGTTACTATATATTTTCATATACAGTTGACCCTTGAACAACTCAATGGTTGGGGGGCCTATCTTCTGCACAGTTGAAAATTTGAATGTAATAGTCGGCCTTCCGTGTGAGGTTCCTCTGTATCCGCATTTCCTCTGCATGTGAGGATCCACAGTTGTGGATCGTGTAATACTGTAGCATTTACTATTGAAAAAATCCGAGTATAAGTGGACCCTGCAGTTCAAACCCTTGTTCAAGGGTCAACTGTAATAATTTTATGTGGTCACCTTAGTGAACCTTCCTTATTTTCTCATATTTTTTCAGTTGATTCTCATGGATTTTTCATGTGGGCAATGAGATTATCAGCAAATAGTGATTATTTTGCCTGTTTGTTTCCTAAGCCATTTACCTTTAACTTGGTTTTCTTAATTGTATTGTCTTTTGTTCCTGAAAAATGTTAATAGTGATGAATAGACATCCTTATTTTATTTCTGAACTTTCTAGGGCTGTTTCTACTGTTTTATTATTAACTAGATGCTTATATCTGTTGTAGTTAGGCTGTGTACATGTGTATAAATTTTAGGAAGTATTCTTTTATTCCTATTCAATTAAAACTTTTAAAATAAAAGGAATTTTAGCTTTTATTGAGCTAATTATATGATTTTTTTCTCCTTTAACCTTTTAATTTGATGATAGTTATTTTTCCTAATATTCAAATTTCTTTCTTGGAATTGACCACCTTTGTCATGAATCCTTCTGCTTAATTCTGTTTTCCAGTATTATACACAGGCTTTTTTTTTCATGTATACTGATTTTTGAGTGTGTGAATGTGGTCACATCTTCGTGTCAGGCTTATATTGGCTTCATAGGAAGAAGCAGAAAACTTCTCATGTGCACAGGAATAGTTTAAATAACATTCTAATTATCTGATCCTTGAAGTTTTGAAGAAACCTGTCCATGAAACTGTTTGGATCTGGCATGTTAGGAGGTCAGGGGTTAGGAATACATTTAGGCAGGTGGGGTAGGTTATTTTCTTAGTATCCCTTTCTCCTATCCAAATCTAAGATTAAATAAGTGTATTGGATAGGTTTTTAGGCTCCATGTCTTCAGTCCTATCTATATGAACAGCCCTCATTAAACACCCTGGGTATTGAGTCTCTAAAAAGCTTCCTGGTTGGCATCGTGCTTTCACAGCTTCCTGGGGGAATTTAGCACGTTCGATGTAACTCCATTGAGAGAGGAGTCTTGAAAGCTTGTGTCTGGTTTCTCCCAGACTTTGCCCCATGTGCTTTTTCAAAACCTTTGCTGATCTTCCTTTGATGCTTTTGTGTAATAAATTAGAGTCATGAGTCCAGACATTTGCTGAGTTATGAGAGTCCATTTCATATGACAGGACAAAACAGTGGTATTAAAAGGCAGTGGCAGAGTTTTAAGACATAACTTTAAAAATGTACTATAACTTTGTCATTACAGGTATGGAAATAATCTCATGGAAGTTAGAACATTTGTCAAAGACCACGTATGTCATTAGTAGCAGAATAATAAGTATGAAAGCATAAGAAACATGTCAGTAAATAATTTTACTCCATGAGCTTTAATTTTTTTCTCAATTTTATTTATCAAATTAAACTTGATGGTTTAAAATGTTAAAGTTTTAAATGTTTAAAATATTAAAGTTTTAAATGTTAAACTTTATTTAACATAAATGTAGTATTTAACATAAATGTAGTATTAAAGTTTATTATGTATCAGTTGAAGATTATTATTATTAAAGTTATTAATTATTTTATTGATGTGTAGTTTCTAAAACATGTTTTTTTAAATGCAAGTGGATGGATGCAAACTGTCACTTCACAGATAAGCTAGGACATTGGGCGAAAATATTTTCTGCATACAAGCTATAGCATTGGTAACTTTGTTAGCATCATTTGCATCTTTGCAGTAAGATTAAAAATGGAATCATATCCTAAATAAATATTCTTAGCAGATATTTTGTATATTTATGCACCTGAGAAGGGATGTGAACCTAGAACAGCAGAGTCTAAATCAGTGGCTATTTTGTAGGCTGCTCATAAGAATGGCTTCAGAATAGGGATTCCACATTCCAGACCAATTAAATCAGAATTTCTGGTGGGTGGGGCTCAAGCATCTTTTTTCTTCTTTTAAGCTCCCCATGTGATTCCAATGTGTGGCAAGCTCATTGAGAATCACTGGTCTAATTAAAATTATTTCTATATGCCAATACAGATTGCGTTTATTCCATACTAAGTGTCTGTTTTCTATACCCAGAAATATTTGCTTTATGTCTCCAGTTGGAAAAGCATAATTAGAATGTAAACTTAGCAAAATGAAATTGTATGTATTAAGAAGTTCAGATCTGGAGAACTTAAGATAGATATTTATATATGTAGTATTAAAGTTTATTATGTATCAGTTGAAGAATTACAAATTTACCTTTGAGCTAGTTAGCCAAAAATCTATCACTGTCCATCAAGAGTTATTAGTTAATCATTTGAGTCTCACTCATGACCTAGATAAAATTTTAAGATAATATGATACCAGAGAACATATTCAGTGGGTGTATGCGTGGCGTCCTTTCAGTTAGGGAAAGCATCTATTTTGTTTAGAGTCATGCACTATCATTGAACTATTGGATAGTGATAATGAGAGTTCGTGTTGAAGGAAAATGGGATTTTGAAATCAGGTACCAGTAGCTTTCAGAATTTCATGGCTGATATAGGAAATGACCATGCTCTTTTGAACATCGTTTGGATAACCCAACCAGAAACCAAAACAAAAAGCAAAAGCAGTCTTATCCTTTGCCTAGAGTACAGTCAGTCCTTGATCATTTGTTAGAGCAGGGATGGCAAACTATAGCCTGAGGGTTAAATCTGGTCCTTTTCTGTAAATAGTTTTATTGGAACAAAGCCATGCTCATTAATTTACTTACTGTCTCTGGCTGCTTTTAGGCTCCCAATGACAGAGTTGAATGGTAGTGACAAAGGCTGTATAGTTTGCAAAACCTAAAATATTTACTATCTGACCCTTTGCAGCAAGTTTGCTGACTTCTGTGTTAGACTGTTGTGTCACATGTTAGATGATTGAATTTCACATGATCTGCTGACACTCCTAAATGGATCCTCTTAAGCTGAATTTGGTCTTTCACACACAAGTGACTGGAGATGATTCAGTTTTTAGGGCTTTTGAATGCAGGTTGCAGTTGAAGGAGAGGGATTTGCGTTGAGAATGAGGGGAGTATGCTGATAGCCCCCTGATGTTCCTACTATAGGGAGCCAGGAGCTTATTTACTTACCTGGGGTGGGTGTCTCCTTGCCTAACTCATCCTCCACGTTCCTCTACATCACATTCCTTGCTGTTGCTTCCTCAGTTGGGGGTGGGCATGGAGTAACAAGTAACTGGGGAAACTGGATTGTGAGGATCTTCCACTGCAGTCTCGGGGGATAACGACAGTTTCTCACATACCTTGTTGATAATGGACCTGGATGTGGAGGTTTAAAGATTAGGAGTGGCTTAATCATTAATCGTGGTACAAGTGGAGAGTTCAAGAAGGTGTGGAGGTCTTGGGAGATTGGGATTGACATATATACACTAATATGTATAAAATGGATAACTAATAAGAACCTGCTGTATAAGAAAATAAATACAATTCAAAAATAAAAGAAAATGTGGAGGTCTAGTGGAGAGAGCATATCTGGCTCATTTCTTCTATTTTCTGGTGCAACAGAGGGGTAGCTGGCTCACCTCTGAGTTGTCAGCCACATCTTCACTTCAGGCACGTGCATGCTAGTGAGGGCTCTCATCCACTTGCTGGGTTACTTACACCTGGAAAAGTACTACCTGCAAATACAGTAGAGATTTAAGAATATAAAAATTTTTAGGTTTTGAAGAAAATAACTCCCCTTTCTAATATGTAAAGCTGTTAATCAAGTTTTAGCCCTTTGATTTTCAGTTACATTTGTAGAAAGGCATTGCATACAAAAGCAAGGAAGTGAGATTAAATATAATGATGTTCTGGTAAACACAGGCTACCTGATTATCAGGGGTGCAAGTTTGGACTGGAAGTTACAGTCTTCAGAAAAATATTGGAGTTATTCTTTTTTTGAGGGAGGTTAGGATGTTTACTATAAGCTTCTATTAATGAATGTCAAGTTATTTTTCTGTGACTTAAGAAGATTATAATTTTTTATAAAATATTTAAGAGGGTTTCAGACCAAAACCTCTGTAATCATTTGAAATCTTACGATTTGGTTTATTCTTTTTGTGATTTAGGCCTAGATCTGTGCCTGAACAAGTTTTCCACTGGGTCTAGTTAGTTATACCCACCTTAGTAAATATATCTGTGCTAAAAGAGGAGCTCTTCTGGTTGTTGATTTTCCTTTTCCTGAGATACTGAGAAATAAGGGCCTTGTAGTTTGAACACAGTTTTCTAGATTGTGATGGCTCCAAGTGCTGTTAGTGTTCGAAGATCCTGACTTTTAGTGCGATAAGGCAGTGAGAATAGTGGAGTTAGTGGAAGTAGGCTGAATTGCTTCCCAGAATAGATGGGTTAATATAGATACCAATGATGATGAAATTCCTCTCTTTTGTGATTTTTTTTAGATATACATTTTTACTTATCTGTGTTTGTGGTATGTGATTTTCGAAGTGTACTCCCCTCTCCTCACTAACTGTCATCCCTTCTTTATATAATAGATCAGCGACTATCATCTGTTCTACAAGATGAGTAACAGCCACCCTCTTCGCCCCTTTACTGCAGTGGGGGAAATTGATCATGTGCACATTTTGTCTGAACATATTGGTGCCTTGTTGATTGGGGAAGAATATGGCGACGTCACATTTGTTGTGGAAAAGAAACGTTTTCCTGCCCACAGGGTAATTTTAGCAGCAAGGTGCCAATATTTTCGGTAAGTGTATATTACTTTTTGAAGATTGAAGTCACTTGTAGAAAACACTGGTATTTTCCATTCTGTGAAAAATATGTAACAAAACAACAATAAGTTCTAGCAGTCATTCAATTCAACATCTGTAAGAATTTAATCGTTGTCAACTTTTTGTTATGTTTTGAAAATCACCTTTTCCTTTCAGGAGTGGTCTTAGAATCATAGGGTTAGGAGGCTTCTTAGGCTAGACTGTACCCGATCAACCATTTTTCAGGGTCTCAACAATATTTCTCAGGCTGAGTCTTTGTTGCCTTCGCTCTCTCCTCACAGTTGATGGCTAATGGAACTTAAACTGATTTATTGGCAGATAGGCCTCTTGTTGTACGGGTAGACTGACCTCTGGACTCGCCAGTGAACACGTATACATCTTAGTTTCAGACTACCCAACAGATGTCTAAGACATGCAGTTTGACAACCCCAAAGCAAAGGAAACAAATATTTACTGAGACTCAGTTTCATAATTATATTAGAGCCAAAACTAAACAAAATATGTGTTTAATTAATGTAAAAATCATACTTGTACGTATACGTAGCTATTGTTAGTTACTTAGACCCCTAATTTCCAGGGTTATAAATGTTAAACTGAGGTCTTATTACTCTACATTTTACCTAATCTTAGTTAAAAGGGAATCATCACTGAATTATTGACTGATAATGTATTCTTGACAGAACCATAGAGTCCATATCCAAAAAATCATGGATTTGCCTGTGAAACTTGATATCGAGAAATTGAGATGCTGAAGGCATGGATAAAATTTCAGTTATCTTCTAGTGAAAACTGCATTCTGATTTTTACAATCAGAATTAACCGAGACAGCAAAACCAACCTAGAGTCACACATATTGTAGTAAAATGTGTTTCTTGGAAATATTTATTGTTTAGCTATAACTCTTACAGTGCTTTATAAACATTTTTAGAATGTTTCCTCTTGTAAATATAAAATGCCACTGTAAATGCAGCCAGGAGCTTAGAAAAGAGAGGAGTCTATTAAGAGTTCTAGCTAACATGCTCCTATCCAGGCAAGGCGGCTGGCCTTGGTCTTGTCATTATTTACCAGCCTCTGTCCTCTGTACACTTTTGTGCTTCTTTCCCTTTTCATTCTTCCATTCATTATATTAAAGTGTCTTGTAAAAGTCCACTCTTCATTAATTTAGAACTTCTCAGCCTTATGTTTAGTATTTGTTACTATTATATATCTTCCCTCTTTCAAAAAGAATTTGAGACAACTGTAGGTGTGTATCTTTTAGGTGATCGGTATATTCTTAAAAGAAACTCAAGTACTTTTAGAAATTTGAAGATCATATTGAATGAATGGAAAACGCTCCCTTCATTTATTGTTCTTGCTGTCTCTTTGTGGGTATTGAACCTTTATAATATCTGATGTCTCAACAGGCTAAACTCAGTCATTACCAATGCTATCTTAGACTGATTCTCATTGCTGACACTGTTCATGTGCAAAGGAAAGTTAACTGTCAGCAGTCAGGAGAGACCTTATGAGTGTGGTCATAGAGCCTATCAGTTCCCAGATAAGGACAAGCTAACTGTACCGGAGGGAACCTTCCACAAGTTGGGGGTTCATATTTAGGCTTCCTAGGGGTCCTCATCAAAACCACTTTTAAAGCATCGAGAATCCAGGTAAGTACCATGGATCACACTGGAGTGGGAGTAGGTCTTGGCAAGATCTCCCCAGGAAGGTATCCTTTAATCTAGCAATTTTAAGGTTATGATTGGATGCTCTCTGGATTCATGGAAACCTTCACAGGTGTTTTTAGGCATACTATAACCCAGTGAGGAGGTATGCTCAGAATATTCATGAACCTTTTGCTGGGTAGTTGCAACTATTTCTGTGAGGCAAGCAAGAATGCCCTGTCTTGCTTTTCCGGGGGACGGTGGGAGGAGTTCTAGGCAAGCATGGAGGGAAACTTTGAAATGCTAGTCCTGCTCTGAGAATCTTAGGAGCACGGGAGTCTCTTTTTGTCCCCTTGTTTTCTTGCTCTCACTTTTACACATTTTCTTTCTCACTCATTACTCTTCCTTTTCTGCACTCCTCCCTAGTCCTCCTCTGGCCACCCTTTCTTTCCTGATGGATTGGAAACTTTAATTGGTTCATATTATTTCTCCTAGAGTAATAGAGGTAGAAATGTAAATTTACTACCTGACTGGATTATCTAGTTTTCATTATTTAGATGAGCAGATAAGCAATAATGTGGGGATTTTTTTTAATCTGAAAAATACTAGAAGACAAAATAGAAAAGTCAAATTATCCATAATCCCATCATGAATTTCATTTTTAATTTATAAACTGACAAATGAAGACCCTTCCCTTCCAGCCATCTAATCCTATTCCCTAGAGACAACCACTGTTAACAGTTTAATATGTATTTCCCCTCAATATAAATAGATATATCTATATATACCTGTGTGCATACAAATGTAAGTGTGTGTTATACACTCTTTTCCATGCAACACATAGGGATCTGCAAACTGACTTACCAACTATATCCTGGACATCTTTCCAAGACAGTATATTTTGATCTCCCTTGGTCTTTCTAATGGCTGCACAGAATGTGTATATCATAGTTTTTTCAACCATGTGCCTCTTGATGGACATTTAAGATATTTTCCATTGTTTCAATATATCTTCTTATACATTTATCTTTATCTTGCTGTATTATCTTACACATTTATCTTTATCCTAAAAGTGAGATTACTGAGTTGAAGGGTATGCACATTTTAGATTTGAATAGATATTACTTAAATTCCTTTCCAAAAAGGGATACCCATTTATACTCTCAAAGCAGTGCATGAGAAAACCTGTTTTTCCATTGTTTTTGCAGTGCTGAATATTAACAGGTTTTTAATTTCTGCCAGCCTGACAGGGAGAATGGCGCCTGCTTGTGTTTAATTGTTTTCGTCTGATTATCTTTTCCTCTGGAGCTTTACTTTTTAAACTACTTTCTTGACCTTTAACAGGTTTATATTGATTTCACTGTTCCTCTCAAAAGAGCACTTTCATCTTTCTAATTAATGAATGTCTATTATGTATCTTGAGCTCTCAGGATTATTCGTTAGTTCAACTTATAGAATTAATTCAAAATAGTTTTTAAATTATGTCTTTCTTTAGAGAACTATTTTAAGTTATTATTATGCATTTCTTCACCTGAATCTTTGTGTCATTAAACACATGTATGTTTTTTATAATGTTGATAACCTTTATTTCATAATTTTGTAGCACATCCTATTTGAAGTTTTTCTCATGTGTTTCTTCTCTGATGTGCAGAGCATTACTATATGGTGGAATGCGAGAATCTCAGCCTGAAGCCGAAATCCCTCTCCAAGACACCACTGCAGAAGCATTCACAATGCTACTTAAATACATCTACACTGGGCGTGCAACGCTGACAGATGAGAAGGAGGAGGTGCTGCTGGACTTTTTGAGCCTGGCTCATAAATATGGATTTCCAGAGCTGGAGGATTCTACCTCTGAGTACCTCTGCACCATACTTAACATTCAGAATGTCTGTATGACTTTTGATGTTGCCAGTCTCTACTCCCTTCCCAAGTTAACGTCCATGTGCTGCATGTTTATGGACAGAAATGCTCAGGAGGTGCTCTCAAGCGAAGGCTTCCTCTCCCTTTCTAAGGTGTGTCATTGTCTACAAGTAATTTACAGGCATGCACTGTTTTATTTATATCTGTAAGTTAGAAATACGGCAGTGAACTAAGAATAAAAAAATAAAAACCATTAGTGTGGAAGAGGTTGTCTAGCCACCTGCCTCTGGCTACTGAGACTCTAGATCATATAAGAGAGAGGCAGATTGCTGCTGTTTTCTTTTATGGTTCTTCAGATAAGTTCTTTGTGCAAAAGAGACTGTGCTGCTGGTGGTTGTTTTCAATGTGATGGCATCAAATAGGCTCCTTTGTGGTGTTGCATACTGTTTTTTGGTTTTGTATTTCTCTGACAGAGTGTTACTAATAATTCCTTATTGAGGGGGAAGATTCATAAAGAAGATCTGATGTTTCATTGGGTGTCTTTAAGTCATTGTCGTTTTTTATTTTCTGGCCCAGAATTCACTATTGTACAATGTTTTATACCATATAATAGCTAGAATAAAACTGTTTTTCCCAAATCTTCCTCTCAACCCTGGTGATTGTCTTTCCTTTCCCTTTCTGTGTTCCTCCTAGGACCTGACTTCTTCGAATGAGAAAACCTCTTTAAAAAGCTACAAGTCTTGATTTGAGTGTAACTTTGATTTTTATTGTCCTAGTTAATTTTCAAAGGCAAGGATCTTGTAGGGTCGCACAGTGTTGCTGGCAGTCAGTTTAGAAATCTGAGAACCAAAAGTGTGGTGGTGCAGTAATACTGTGGAACAAACGGTTTGAATTTTTTAAATGCTAGATGCATCTTACCGGCTCATAAATGCAAACTCTGCTGAAGAACCTGTATGGGATGACAGCGTCTCACACTGCTGTTTTTCTTGTTATTTTACTAAAGATGGGTGCAAATGTGCTGGAAAGACTAGGTACAAGATGCCTACGGCTATTCACACAGCCATAATGGGCAAGAGAGTACATGGCACAAAGAATAAGGAAAGAAGATGGTCAAGAAGAGTTAACTGCTTAAATATAAGTGATATTTGCAGTTCAGTAACGTTTTACTGATTGATCATGCACATGGTTGAGCTCCATAATAACTGGAATTTTTCCTTTTTACCCTTTTCAGACAGCACTTTTAAACATCGTATTAAGAGATTCATTTGCAGCTCCCGAAAAAGATATCTTCCTAGCCTTGTTAAACTGGTGTAAACATAATTCAAAGGAGAATCATGCTGAAATCATGCAGGCTGTCCGTTTGCCTCTGATGAGCCTCACTGAACTTCTGAATGTCGTGAGGCCTTCGGGACTATTGTCTCCTGATGCCATTCTGGATGCTATTAAAGTTCGATCAGAGAGCCGGGACATGGACCTCAATTATAGAGGCATGCTCAGTAAGTACCTATTTATGCTAATCTCACCAAGAAGTTTTGTTTGCATCCTGTGACAGGCCCAGCTACAAAACTCTAGCTACAAAACTGTAGTTCAGGTAAACATGGTATGTATCAATCTGAGAACATAGAGCTCTGCTTCCTGTGGAATGCCTTTCCGACTCCTTCTCCTGCTAATTCCTCCTGAGATTGCTTAGCCTCTGTAGACCACAAAATAGGTATTTCTTGCCATTTCTGGACAAATTTCTCCAGCCGCTCCCTAGAATGTCAAAAGTTAGATAATTTCTCATGTTAAGACCTTTCTTCCTTTCCTCCATCAAATCAGTACTGAGTACATGCTATATGTTTATTATTATTTTAGGTGCCATGAACACGGAGATTCTAAATAAAAATAATAATGGGTAACACTTGCATAGCATTTCCAATACTTATATGGTATTTTTCTTATTAATAAAACTAATAGCCATGAACGCTTATGAAGTGCTTATATATATCAGTAACAGTCCTACATGATGATTTAATTCTCACAATAACCCTTTGAGATAAAAACCTATTATTTTTTTCCTATTTATTTATTTATTTTAAGTGAAGATAATACAATTCTTTTTATTTAATTTTTTAATTTAATTTTTATTTTTTTATACAGCAGGTTCTTATTAGTTATCCATTTTATACATATTAGTGTATATATGTCAATCCCAATCTCCCAATTCATCACACACACACACACACACACACACACACACCCTGCCACTTTCCCCACTTGGTGTCCATATGTTTGTTCTCTACATCTGTGTCTCTATTTCTACCCTGCAAACCGGTTCATCTGTACCAGTTTTCTAGGTTCCACATACATGCGTTAATATACAATTTTTGTTTTTCTCTTTCTGACTTACTTCACTCTGTATGAGAGTCTCTAGATCCATACACGTCTCTACAAATGACCCAATTTCGTTCCGTTTTATGGCTGAGTAATACTCCATTGTATACATGTACCACATCTTCTTTATCTGTTAGTCTGTCGATGGTCTTTTAGGTTGCTTCCATGACCTGGCTATTGTAAATAGTGCTGCAATGAACATTGGGGTGGATGTGTCTTTTTGAATTATGGTTTTCTCTGGGTATATGCCCAGTAGTGGGATTGCTGGGTCATATGGTAATTCAATTTTTAGTTTTTTTAAGGAACCTCCATACTGTTCTCCACAGTGGCTGTATCAATTTACATTCCCACCAACAGTGCAAGAGGGTTCCCTTTTCTCCACACCCTCTCCAGCATTTGTTGTTTGTAGATTTTCTGATGATGCTCATTCTAACTGGTGTGAGGTGATACCTCATTGTAGTTTTGATTTGCATTTCTATAATAATTAGTGATGTTGAGCAGCTTTTCATGTGCTTCTTGGCCATCTGTATGTCTTCTTTGGAGAAATGTCTATTTACGTCTTCTGCCCATTTTTGGATTGGGTTGTTTGTTTCTTTAATATTGAGCTGCATGAGCTGTTTATATATTTTTGAGATTAATCCTTTGTCCATTGATTCGTTTGCAAATATTTTCTCCCATTTTGAGGGTTGTCTTTTCATCTTGTAGTTTCCTTTGCTTTGCAAAAGCTTTTAAGTTTCATTAGGTCGCATTTGTTTTTCTTTTTATTTCTGTTACTCTAGAAGGTGGATCAAAAAAGATCTTGCTGTGATTTATGTCAGAGTGTTCTTCCTATGTTTTCCTCTAAGAGTTTTATAGTGTCCAGTCTTACATTTAGGTCTCTAATCCATTTTGAGTTTATTTTTGTGTATGGTGTTAGGGAGTGCTCTAATTTCATTCTTTTACATATAGCTGTCCAGTTGTCCCAGCACCAGTTTTTGAAGAGATTGTCCTTTCTCCATTGTATATCCTTGCCTCCTTTGTCATAGATTAGTTGACCATAGGTGTGTGGGTTTATCTCTTGAGCTTTCTATCTTGTTCCATTGATCTATGTTTCTGTTTTTGTGCCAGTACCATATTGTCTTGATTACTGTAGCTTTGTAGTATAGTCTGAAGTGAGGGAGTCTGATTCCTCCAGCTCCATTTTTTTACCTCAAGACTGCTTTGGCTATGCAGGGTCTTTTGTGTCTCCATACAAATTTTAAGATTTTTTGTTATAGTTCTGGAAAAAAATGCCATTGGTAATTTGATAGGGATTGCATTGAATCTGTAGATTGCTTTGGGTAGTGTAGTCATTTTCACAATATTGATTCTTCCAATCCAAGAACATGGTATATATCTCCATCTGTTGGTATCATCTTTAATTTCTTTCATCAGTGTCTTATAGCTTTCTGCATACAGGTCTTTTGTCTCCTTAGGTAGGTTTATTCCTAGGTATTTTATTCTTTTTGTTGCAGTGGTAAATGGGACTGTTTCCTTAATTTCTCTTTCAGATTTTTCATCATTAATGTATAGGAATGCAAGAGATTTCTGTGTATTAACTTTGTGTCCTGCAACTTTACCAAATTCATTGATTAGCTCTAGTAGTTTTCTGGTGGCATCTTTAGGATTCTCTATGTATAGTATCTTGTCAGCTGCAAACACTGACAGATTTACTTCTTCTTTTCTAATTTGTATTCCTTTTATTTCCTTTTCTTCTCTGATTGCTGTGGCTAGGCCTTCCAAAACGATGTTGAATAATAGTGGCGAGAGTGGACATCCTTGTCTTGTTCCTGATCTTAGTGGAATTGCTTTCAGGTTTTCACCATTGAGAATGATGTTTGCTGTGGGTTTGTTGTATATGGCCTTTATTATGTTGAGGTAGGGTTCCCTCTATTCCCACTTTCTGGAGAGTTTTTATCATAAGTGGGTGTTGAATTTTGTCAAAAGCTTTTTATTCATCTATTGTCCTATGGTTTTTCTCCTTCAGTTTGTTAATACGGTGTATCACATTGATGGATTTGTGTATATTGAAGAATCCTTGCATCCCTGGGATAAATCCCACATGGTCATGGTGTATGATCCTTTTAATGTGTTGTTGGATTCTGTTTGCTGGTATTTTGTTGAGGATTTTTGCATCTATATTCACCAGTAATAATGGTCTGTTATTTTCTTTTTTTGTAGTATCTTTGTCTGGTTTTGGTATCAGGGTGATGGTGGCCTCGTAGAATGAGTTTGGGAGTGTTCCTTCCTCTGCAATTTTTGGAAGAGTTTGAGAAGGATGGGTGTTAGCTCTTCTCTAAATGTTTGATAGAATTCACCTGTGAAGCCATCTGGTCCTGGGCTTTTGTTTGTTGGAAGATTTTAAATCACAGTTTCAATTTCAGTGCTTGTGATTGGTCTGTTCATAGTTTCTGTCTCTTCTTGGTTCAGGCTTGGAAGATTGTACTTTCCTAAGAATTTGTCCATTTCTTCCAGGTTGTCCATTTTATTGGCATAGAGTTGCTTGTAGTAATCTCTCATGATCTTTTGTATTTCTGCAGTGTCAGTTGTTACTTCTCCTTTTTCATTTCTAATTCTATTGATTTGAGTCGTCTCCCTGTTTTTCTTGATGAGTCTGGCTAATGGTTTTTCAATTTTGTTTATCTTCTCAAAGAACCAGCTTTTACTTTTATTGATCTTCGCTGTTGTTTTCTTTGTTTCTGTTTCATTTATTTCTGCTCTGATCTTTATGATTTCTTTCCTTCTGCTAACTTTGGGGTTTTTTTTGTTCTTTTTTCTCTAATTGCTTTAGGTGTAAGGTTAGGTTGTTTATTTGAGATATTTCTTGTTTCTTAAGCTAAGATTGTATTGCTTATTATAAACTTCCCTCTTAGAACTGCTTTTGCTGCACCCATAGGCTTTGGGTAATCGTGTTTTCATTGTCATTTGTTTCTAGGTATTTTTTGGTTTCCTCTTTAACTTCTTCAGTGACCTCTTGGTTATTAAGTAGTGTATTGTTTAGCCTCCATCTGCTTGTATTTTTTACAGATTTTTTCCTGTAATTGATATCTAGTCTCATAGCATTGTGGTTGGAAAAGATACTTGATACAATTTCAATTTTCTTAAATTTACTAGGACTTGATTTGTGACCCAAGATATGATCTATCATGGAGAATGTTCCATGAGCACTTGAGAAGAATGTGTATTCTGTTGTTTTTGTATGGAATGTCCTATAAATACCAATTAAGTCCATCTTGTTTAATGTATCATTTTAAGCTTGTGTTTCCTTATTTTCATTTTGGATGATCTGTCCATTGGTGAGAGTGGGGTGTTGAAGTCCCCTACTATGTGTTACTGTTGATTTCCCCTTTTATGGCTGTTAGTATTTGCCGTATGTATTGAGGTGCTCCTATGTTGGGTGCATAAATATTTACAATTGTTATATCTTCTTCTTGGATTGATCCCTTGATCATTATGTAGTGTCCTTCTTTGTCTCTTGTAATAGTCTTTAA